AGATCATTTGGAGAGCTGCCGTGAAGAGTCATCAGTATATTGATGATACACAATTATAGCTCTCCTTTCGGTCAGTTCCAAGCGAGACAGTGGAAGTATTAAATCGGTGCCTGGCCATAGTAATGGACTCACTTAGCAGACTGAAGCTCAGTCTGTATAAGATAGATTTACTACTAGTAGGTCAGATATCTGTCCTGGTGAACGGTATTCAATCTGTTTTGAAAAGGGATTCACTTCCCTGACATAATCTTGTTGGTAGATATGGGGTGCTTCTAGACACATATTATTAGAGTCACAAGCATCTTCTATGGCATGAAAAACCTTAATTTAGGCTGATGTGTCAGTTATGACCAACTTGTTATCTTATAGTATGATCTGATGATTTCTTGATTAGACTCCTGTGACTGTTATACATGGAGCTGCCCTTTCCAGAAACTTCATTTAAGTACAAGATGCTTCAACAAGAGTACTAACTAGAACTATTGATGATAAAAATAATATCCTAATCTTATATGATCATCACTGATTCCCAGTCTGTTTCTGCTTCCAATTCAAAGTACTAGTAAAGTCCTTCATGGCATGGGATCTGAAGAAAAGCCTCTTCCAATATGTTCCTATCTATACCCTGTCAAGTTAAGTAATCTTTATTTGATCAATGGCCAGAACAAAATAAGAATCAGATAAATAGAAAGTACAAAGCTACAACCCTGGCCCTAAAACATCTCGTGGGAAAAGGAAGTAGCAAAATAGTAAATTATGACAGTAAAAGTGTATCTCAAAGATCACAATTCTCAAGGGCACAATATTTTAGCATTAAGCTATAATCTATAAGACTAGAACACAATAAAAGTAAAACCAGGACAAAATAATTCATAAAACCTAAAAAAGTAATATTTTAACAATATAGCTATCATCTATAAAAATACAGCACAATAAAACTGAAGAAAAAAAAATTATCCCTTTACCAGAGTTGGCTTATTCCATTGCTACAAAACACAACTTAGTTAGCTACCAAGCATGTGATCAAAGGTTTAAAATCTTCTCTTTTTTAATAGAAATTTTATTAAAGATTATAATTACTGTACAACTGTAGAAAGTAATACAAACTGAAAAAAATTGAAGAATAAAAAGAAAGAGTAGAATGTGGATAAAAAAAGAAAAAGGAGAAAGAGAAAGAGAAAAGGAAGAAAAAATAAGAATATAGTAAAGAAAAAAGAAATACAGGTAGTCTCCAGTTTAAGAATGAGTTCTGTTCCCAAGGTCTGTCCTTAAGTCAAATTTGTATGTAAGCT